CAGCAGTACCTCCAGCAGCTCCAGCAGCACCAGCAGCACCTCCAGCAGCGCCAGCCGCACCGCCAGCAGCAGCAGCACCTCCAGTAACTCCAGAAGCTCCAGAGTCCACGACACCGGGAGCGCCACTCCGGAGACTGCAGCGCCTAGCGTACCACTCTCGGAGCTGCTGGGGAGAGGGCAGCTCCCGCCTAGGAGGGGAAGCACTAGCACCAGCTCCGGCACCACTCCGAGCTCCAGAAGCACCTCTCCTGAGGCTGCAGTACTGTAAGTACCACTCACGCAGCTGCTGCGAGGAGAGGCCTCCCCCAGGTGCAGCACGCTCAGGCTCAGTACTCTCAGACGTAGCACTCCCAGGCTCAGCACCCCCAGGCTCAGCACCTCCAGACTCAGCACCCGCAGGCTCCGCACCCCCAGGCTCAGCACCCCCAGACTCAGCACCCGCAGGCTCCGCACCCCCAGACCCCGCACCCCCAGGCTCAGCACCCCCAGACTCCGCAACCCCAGGCTCCGCACGCTCAGGCTCAGCACCCCTGGCAGGACGAGAGTCGACAGCTACCTCGACAGGCTCAACCGGGTCTACCTGGGACACACCTGAGGGAGCGGCACCCTGAGGGGGGAGGGGTTCTACCACAGCAGCACTTGGCGCGAGGAAGAGAGGCGGGGGGGGGAGCGGGGCAGTGCGGTAGGGGAAGAGGCGGTAGTAGGGCACGGACTCGTCAAAAGTGACGTCCAGAGAGGGCAGGACACGGCGCGAGGTGGCGTGGTAAAACTGCCAACCAGACGCGTCCGGGACAAAGCCAAGGAAGACACAGGGAACAGCGCGGGAGGAGAGCTTGTCCGCGAACGTATCGCGAACAAAAGCTCGGGACCCCTAGACCCGAAAACGCGACGCATCGCCAACCTCTCCCGTCCAACGCAGTGTCGGCGAAGTCTCCGGAACGGAGACACGGGGCCAGAGGTTGAGCTGATGCGCAGCGTATCGGACCGCAAACGGCCACAGAAAGTGGGGGGCAGCCGCATGGATCAAGGAGGTACGAGCGACCTCCATGACCAAACCAATGCGGCGCTCAGCAACCCCATTCTGCTGTGGAGAGGCCGGAAGCGTGAACGACTGGCGGATGCCGTGCTCCGCACAGTAGGCTGCCAAGAGGTCAGAGGAGAACTCACCATCTCTGTCAGAGTGCAGACGCAGGACAGGAAAGTCCGAGTGGAACCGCTCACTGAGCTGGAGACGAGCAGCGCGGATCCAAGGGATCAAAACATCAGGGACCTCACCCTTGGTGCGCAAGGGGAAGACCGTGGTGTAGCGCGAGTAGTCGTCAACAACGATCAGGAAGTACCTCTCCTGACCCTGTCCACGGACGCGGGCTGGGCCCCACACGTCCATGTGGAGCGTCTGCAAGGGAGCAGTCGTCGGGGGAAACGAGGAGGAGTGAGGAGCGGCGCGCTACCGCCCCTCGACACACGGAAGGCAGGGAGGAGCAGGCGAGGGTGGGAGTGGAGGGAGAACCGTGGGAAGACCAGAGACAAGGTACCGGTTGTGCATGGCACGAAGGCGCTGCACTGACGGGTGACCAAGACGGTGGTGCCAGAGGACAGTCTCGTGTGCCAGAGAGCGACACGAGCAGGGGGCAGACAGCTGACCCGACGCAGACGCAGACGCAGCTACCTGTGGGGACTCAGTGGTCAGTGTGTACAGGTCCGACCCCGGCTGCCGAGTGAAGGTAGCCAGGTGGCGGCCCGTCCGAGCGCACGTGCAGTGTGTCACACGCTCGTAGGCAGGGGTAAACTGGTGGACACCCCCGTCCTGGAGCGCACTACCCGCCACCAAGTTCGTAGAGAACGAGGGGAGGTAGAGACCTGACAGAGTGCCCGACGGGACCGCAGGACAAGGGAGAACAGTAGAGGAGGTTGCAATGACCGGACCCCCAGAGGGGTCAGCGAGGGAGACTGCAACCGGCCGAGCAAGCTGCTCAAGGGCAGTGCGGTCACGAAAGAAACAGCGGGAAGCGCCTGAGTCCAGTGTGAAGGTGTGCAGTGCCTCAGTAGACGCAGTACCAGAGGGCACAGACTGACGAGTACCTAGAGCAGCAGCCTCACCAGCACCTGGGGCAACAGACACACGAGCACCTAGTGCAGCAGCCTCACCAGTACCTAGAGCAGCAGACTGGATACCGGGGTCAGGCGGCACACACAGGTGACAGGCACTCTCAGCACTAGTAGGAAATGCATACATGGCAGTGAGGATAGCATCATAGTCAAGAGCATAGATATCTACCCTCTGCCTAAGCAGCTCCACCCAGTCGGGGAGCTCAGCCGCGTCGCCAAACTCTGTACGCCAGGCGTCGCTCAGACGGGCGAAGCAGCGGGACTCTGTGTGACCAAACGTCCCGCAAGGCTGACCAGTCCGAGCACCAGTGCGAATGACGTACGGGCAGCGAGCAGTACCCCGTGACCCTCCACGCTGAGCGTACCACTCACGAAGCTGCTGGGACGTGAGGGACTCACTCGGACGTCGCGGGAGCTGCATCTGGCCACCGCCAGGAGCAGCAGTAGCAGTAGTAGTAGCAGCAGCGCGGCCACCCCTACAACCCCAACCAGCATACCACTCACGAAGCTGTTGGGGCGTGAGGGACTCACGCGGACGGCGCTGGAGCTGCATCTGGCCACGCCAGGAGCAGCAGTAGAAGTAGAAAGAGCAGTAGCAGCAGGAGCAGCAGTAACAGCAATACGGGCAGGGCAGTGCTCACCAGTGGCGAGAAGAGCAGGCGTACGACGGTGGTAACGGCAAGGCCGCTACCACTGCAGGGCGAGGGCTCCGCGGCAGCTGCAGGGGCGGCTGCTCCAGGGGCCAGGGGCGGCTGCAGAGGTCCAGGGGCGGCTGCTGCAGGGGCAGCTGCTGCAGGGGCGGCTGCTGCAGGGGCGGCTGCTCCAGGGGCGGCTGCTCCAGGGGCCAGGGGCAGCTGCTCCCTTTTTTTTTTTTTTTTTTTTTAATAATTAATTATTTATTTTAGGGTTTGGCAGAGCGCACTCGGCGCTGTAGAGGCGGCTCGCGGGCTGCAGGGTGGCTCGGGCAGCAGCGAGGGGGGGGGGTGGGGGGGCGGCGCGCGGCTCCCCATGGCGCCGCGACGGGGCAGCGGGGGGGGGGGGGGGGGGGCGCGCGCGGCTCCCTAGGGCGTCGCGACGGGGCAGCGGGGGGTCGCGCGCGGCTCCCTAGGGCGTCGCGACGGGTCAGCGGGGGCCGAGCGCGGCTCCCCAGGACGTCGCGACAGGGCAGCGGGGGCCGAGCGCGGCTCCCCAGGGCGTCGCGACGGGGCAGCGGGGGCCGAGCGCGGCTCCCCAGGGCGACGCGACGGGATAGCGGGGGTCGCGCGCGGCTCCTCAGGGCAGCGCGACGGGGCAGAGGCAGCGCCCACGGGCGACACGCGGCTCGGCAGGGCAGCGCGCTGGCTGCAGGGGCGGCTCTCGGGCCTGACGGGCCTGCAGAGGCGGCTCGGGGGGGCCTGACGGGTCTGCAGAGGCGGCTCGGGGGCCTGACGGACCTGCAGGGGCGGCTCGAGGGCCGTACTAGCTTGCAGGAGGCAGCGCGAGGGCTGCAGGACGGCACGCGGGCAGACCGAAGGGCAGGTCGCACGGGGGCGCACGAGGGCGCACGTAAGGTAGGGCGCACGAGGGCGCACGAGGGCGCACGAGTATAGAAAGGCGCACGAGGGCGCACGTAAGGTAGGGCGCACGAGGGCGCTTCTAGCGGAATAGTGGGCCCGTAGGAGAAAGCGGTCCTAGGTAGCAACCTAGGCTCGTGATACCATGTTAGAATGTAGAACTGAACGAGAATGTGTGAAACTAGGCAGCAGGGTGATACAAGTAGGAAACCCTAGCAATGTTGTACCCCCTAAGGCTAAACCCACTATAGCCTACACAATATGAACATGTATAATGTTTGACATGGTAAGCACTCAGCCTGGCAAGGGATGCGTATTTTTATGAGGCGCCTCAAAAGAGGGACAGAGGAGATATTGAGACCTGGTAGGAGGTGAGCATGCAAACATGGTAAGCACTCAGCCTAGCAAGGCGTGTGTTACCTCGTCTGGAAAGAAGGTGGCTCGGACGACAGGACAGCAGCAGCAGGCTGTGCGTGCTGCAATTAGCCTGTGTGATCTAGATGGATGATGCTCGCGTGCAAACATGGTAAACAGTGCACACAGCAGCAGACTGTACAGGTTTTGGCCTGTATGCCTTACATGGATGGTGAACATACCAACAAGGTCAGCACACAGCCTAGCAAGGCATGTGTCACCTCACGGGGGAAGAAGGTGGCTCTGTCATGGGGGCCAGCAGCTGCAGCAGCGACATGATTTGACTTATAATGAGCACACCAGCACAACTCGAGGGGGGTGTATGTGATACCTCGTGGGGGAAGAAGGTGGCTCTGTCATGGGGGCCAGCAGCTGCAGCAGCGACATGATTTGACTTATAATGAGCACACCAGCACAACTCGAGGGGGGTGTATGTGATACCTCGTGGGGGAAGAAGGTGGCTCTGTCATGGGGGCCAGCAGCTGCAGCAGCGACATGATTTGACTTATAATGAGCACACCAGCACAACTCGAGGGGGGTGTATGTGATACCTCGTGGGGGAAGAAGGTGGCTCTGTCATGGGGGGGCAGCAGCAGCAGCGACGGCAGCGACACTGCCTGCAGCTGTTTCTCCAATGCCTCTGAGTCGAACTGGAGTAGGTGCTCTTGGGAGAGCTGTGAGGGGGGGAAACAAACAGTGAGTCGAATCGAACTGAAGAAGCTGCTCTGGGGAGAGGTGTGGAGGGAGAGCAGAGAGGACCGCAACAGGGAATCAGAGGACCAAGTAAAAGGACTTAGGGAGTTAGGTTTCTGGTTGTATATAGGTAGCAAGAGCAGGTTGGCGAAGGCACAACACCACACCACACCGCACCACACCGCACCACACCACACCAGTTAATCTGCTCCTCTCTCACCTCGTTCGCAGTTAAGGAGGATGATGCAGCAGCAGAAGGTTTGGCGAAGGCCCAGAGGGGATCTTGGAGGAATTGCAGCGAGCCCGAGGGGAAGAATGGGGAGACTGGTTGGGGAGAGATAGAGCGCAGGAGGAGACGGGGGAAAAGGGGGGTTGGGGTTGTAGAGAGGGAATAGCAGCAGAAGGCTTGGTGGAGGCCCAGAGGGGGTCCTGGAGGAATTGCAGCGAGCCCGAGGGGAAGAAAGGGGAGACAGGTTGGGCGGTGTTGATTAAGCAGAGGGGGAGAGGGGCGGAAAAGGTGAGGAATTGGGGGAATAGGAGGAGCAGAAGGTTTGGTGAAGGCTCAGAGGGGGTCCTGGAGGAATTGCAGCGAGCCCGAGGGGAAGAAAGGGGAGACTGGTTGGGCGGTGTTGATTAAGCAGAGGGGGAGAGGGGCGGGAAAGGTGAGGAATTGGGGGAATAGGAGGAGCAGAAGGTTTGGTGAAGGCTCAGAGGGGGTCCTGGAGGAATTGCAGCGAGCCCGAGGGGAAGAAAGGGGAGACTGGTTGGGCGGTGTTGATTAAGCAGAGGGGGAGAGGGGCGGGAAAGGGGAGGAATTGGGGGAATAGGAGGAGCAGAAGGTTTGGTGAAGGCTCAGAGGGGGTCCTGGAGGAATTGCAGCGAGCCGAAAGGGAAGAATGGGGACACTGGTGGCGGGGGGGAGGAAAGAGTAGAATGTGAGGGAGGGAAAGTGGGGGAGAATCGATGGAACAGGAGGAAAAATGGCTTGGTGGAGGCCCAGAGGGGGTCTTGGAGGAATTGCAGCGAGCCCGAGGGGAAGAAAGGGGAGACTGGAAGGGGGGAGGAGAGACGAGTGGAATGTGGGGGGAAGGTGGGGGAGGAATTGATGGAATAGGAGGGGAAAGCTTGGTGAATGCCCAGAGGGGGTCCTGGAGGAATTGCAGTGAGCCTGAGGGGAAGAAGGGGGAGACTGGTGGGGAGAGAGAAATCACAGTGGGGGCGGCGGCGGGGGGAGAAAGGGAGAGAGGGAACAGGAGGAAAAATTGCTTGGTGAAGGCCCAGAGGGGGTCTTAAAGGAATTGCAGCGAGCCCGAGGGGAAGAAAGGGGAGACTGGTGGTGGGGAGAGAGGGGGAGGAAGGAGCAAGGAGGGAAGTGGGAGGTGGGAATAGAGGGAAGTTGGGTTGGTGAAGGCCCAGAGGGGATCTTCAAGGGGAAGTGAAGTGAGCCCGATGGGAAGAGGGGAGGGAGCGGCACAAGTGACGTGAAAAGTGGAAATTCGAGCAGCTGCAGAATTGGTGAAGGCCCAGAGGGGATCTACTGCAGTGCAGTGAGGCAGATGGGAAAAATGGTGCAGGAGCTGTGAACTTCTGAGTCTATTTTTGAGTCGACTAAAAAAAAGTCGACTCAAAGGGCATCTTCGAGATGAAGTGCAGTGCACTGGTGGAGTGGAGAAAGGGCGCGGGGGGGCGGGAGGAAGGGAGGGAGAGAGGGAATAATAGGAGAGAGTGGAGTGAGCCTGATGGGAAGAGGAGAGGGGAGGGAGAGGCACGAGTGACGTGGGAAGTGGGAAGTGGGACGTGGGAATTGGGAATTGGGAAGTGGGAATTGGGAATTGGGAAGTGGGAATTGGGAATTGGGAAGTGGGAATTGGGAATTGGGAATTGGGAAGTGGGAATTGGGAATTGGGAATTGGGAATTGGGAAGTTGGAAGTGGAAATCGGGAATTGGGAATTGGGAATTGGGAAGTTGGAAGTAGGAAGAGGGAAGTGGGAATTGGGAAGTGGGAATTGGGAATTGGGAATTGGGAAGTGGGAATTGGGAAGAGGGAAGTGGGAATTGGGAAGTGGGAAGTGGGAAGTGGGAAGTGGGAAGTGGGAATTGGGAAGTGGTAAGTGGGAATTGGGAATTGGGTATTGGGAATTGGGAATTGGGAAGAGGGAAGTGGGAATTGGGAATTGGGAAGAGGGAATTGGGAATTGGGAATTGGGAAGTGGGAAGTGGGAAGTGGGAATGGGGGGTGTGGGGTTGCAGAGGGAATAGCAGCAGGGCGTGGTGAAAGCCCACAGCCCAGTGTGATAGGTCGAGTTTTGAGTGGACCCAAAACTGGTGAAGGCCCACAGCCCAGTGTGATAGGTCGAGTTTTGAGTGGACCCAAAACTGGTGAAGGCCCACAGCCCAGTGTGATAGGTCGAGTTTTGAGTGGACCCAAAACTGGTGAAGGCCCACAGCCCAGTGTGATAGGTCGAGTTTTGAGTGGACCCAAAACTGGTGAAGGCCCACAGCCCAGTGTGATAGGTCGAGTTTTGAGTGGACCCAAAACTGGTGAAGGCCCACAGCCCAGTGTGATAGGTCGAGTTTTGAGTGGACCCAAAACTGGTGAAGGCCCACAGCCCAGTGTGATAGGTCGAGTTTTGAGTGGACTCAAAACTGGTGAAAGCCCACAGCCCAGTGTGATAGGTCGAGTTTTGAGTGGACTCAAAACTGGTGAAGGCCCACAGCCCAGTGTGATAGGTCGAGTTTTGAGTGGACTCAAAACGGGTGAAGGCCCACAGCCCAGTGTGATAGGTCGAGTTTTGAGTGGACTCAAAACTGGTGAAGGCCCACAGCCCAGAAAAGGCCTTGGAGAAAATGCAGCGAGCCAGTTGGGAAGGAAGGGGACACTGTGGAAGGGGAGAGAGGCCGCCGGAGGGTGGGCAGGAGGAAGGGGAGGGAGGACGCGTGGGGGGGGGGCAGGAGGGAGGGAGAGAGGGAATAGGAGGAGATTCGGCTTGGTAAATACTCAGAAGGGCCTTGGAAACATTGCAGAGAACCAGAGGGGAAGAAGGGAGAGACTGGAGCAGGGGTGCAGGCGGGAGGGAGGGAGGGCGGGCGCGCGGGGGCTGGCAGGAGGGAGGGAGAGAGGGAATAGGTTGGAATCCGGCCTGGTGAATACCCAGACAGGTCTTGGAAGAATTGTAGAGAGCCTTGGGGAAGAAGGGGGGAGACTGATGGCGGGGAGGGAGAGGGGGCGCGGGGGGGGAGGGCAGGAGGGGGGGAGAGAGGATTAGCACTATGCCTGTATACTACCGCCTGTATCAATGAAAGGACCGTTTGAAAGGGCCCGGGAGAATACTCAGACGGGTGTTGGAGCGAGAGGGGAGGGGGAAAGTGGGGAAGTTGTGTGGGGAGGAATGGGGGGAAGGACAGGGGAAAAGGGAGGGATGGGGGGAAGGACAGGGGAAAAGGGAGGGATGGGGGGAAGGACAGGGGAAAAGGGAGGGTTCAAGCGAGGGTATCATGTCACACCACGCCATCTCCCCTATTATCCAACAACCCTCCACTGCTACCCCTCCCTCGTTCTCTTTGAGACGTCTCAAAAACAACTTATTGTCACACCACGTCATCTCCCCTATTATCACACCACGTCATCTCCTCTATTATCACACCACGTCATCTCCCCTATTATCACACCACGTCATCTCCCCTATTATCACACCACGTCATCTCTCCTATTATCACACCACGTCATCTACCCTATTATCACACCACGTCATCTCCCCTATTATCACACCACGTCATCTCCCCTATTATCACACCACGTCATCTCCCCTATTATCCAGCAACCCCTCCACTGCTACCCCTCCCTCGTTCTCCCTCTCACTTCCCACCCTTTTGCCCATCAACTTGGCTTACCATCATCCTCACCTGTCGAGCTGCCACCTCCCCCCAGGCTCCCCTCCCACACTCCCTCCACTGCCGCCCCTCCCATGTCCACTCCTCTCACCTCCAGCCTTTTTGCCCACTAACTTGGCGTACCTTCTTTAGCACCCGTCGAGTTGCCGTCTGTCAAGTTGTCACCTCCCCCAGGCACCCACACTCCCTCCACTGCCGCCCCTCCCTCCTCCACCCCTGCTTGCAACCCCTGCTGCTGCTGCTGCTGCCGTGCCACTGTCAGCAACTCGCTATAGTCACTCCCTGTGCTCCTCGGTTCTCTCACCTCTCCCGCTCTCGTCTCTCCCCTTTTGGTCTCTCCCCCTCTGATGTCCCCCCCTCTTGTCTGCCCCCCTCTCGTCTCTCCCGCCCTTGTTCCTCCCGCTTTAGTTCCTGCCAGAGCTGCTGCTGCTGCCTCTGCTGCTTCTACTGCTGCTGCTGCTGCCGCCAGTCCTCCGCTTCCCACTCCCCTCCCTTCTTCCCGTCCCCGGCCTCCTTCCCCTCCCATGCCCCTCCCCCCACCTCCGCCTCCTCTTCCTCTTCCCCCACCACCACCACCACCGATACTGCCACTGCCCCCCATGCCACCACGCACCCCGCCCCTTCCCCAGTCTATCTGCACCCCACCCCTCTCCCATTCCCCCTGCCCCCTGCCCCGCCCCCGCCCCTCCTCCCCCCCGCCTCTCCCCCGATCCCCGCGTCCTCCGCCTCTCCCCCTTCCCCCGCCCCCCGCCGCCCCCCATCCTCCACGGCTTTCTCCCGCAGCGTCTCTCGCTTGCTGCGACTGCTGCAGCTGCGGCTGCGATTGCTGCTGATGCTGCTGTATCTGCGGCTGCAGCAGCAGCTGCGGCGGCGGCAGCGGCGCTTGCGGATCCGGGTGCGGCCCCTGCTGCTGGGCAAACTGCTGCCCGTATGGTTGCTGCCCGTATGCCTGCCCCTGTTGCTGCCAGGATTGTTGCTGCCCGGATTCCTCCCCGACCTGCTGCCCGTGCTGCTGAAATTCCTGCAGCACGGCTTCCACCTCTCTCCACCGATCTAAATCCCCTGGATCGCTCGACATTTTCGGGTGTTGGCCGAGTAACGACTTGCCGGCTACAGACGATAGCAGACGGCCGACGGTCAGCAGCTGGTTGGCAAATCGTTAGGGCAATAAAGCAGCTGCGCTAGCTCCGACCGACCTAAGGCTAGACCTAGTGGTGGTAAGGTTAGGATCAGTATAATTACTGAAGTGAGCTAGGATGATGGGATTTTGAAGCACAATTTAGTAGAAACCCGAACTACCACACACATTCAACTGGTCGGTTCAGAGAAAATTTCGGTTACCAATTGATATATTTTCTGTTCCGAAATTCGCCCCTTCCCCACCCAATCTCGCTAAAAACGGGGTTAGGGCGAAAACTCTACGACATGAATTGATTCGCTCAAATTCGCCTTATGGAAGAATTCTCAAAATTCTGCGGTTACACAGCTCGTTGCCTAACGAACTCAAAGCGAGGGAATGCTGAATCTTGTGTCGACAAAATGCGAAACACTCGTTGCGGAACATTATGCATGGCACTTTTTCAGGATCGCGAGTTGAGACTCGTTCCGCCGAATACGCCTTTCTCATAAAAGAGTCCTAACCCTCCAGGACCCACTTCACCACGAATTATCTCACTGCACCGTACCAGAGCCTCCAATTTCCGCGCCAACCTCCACCTGTCGCGACGCGAATCGTGATGTTACCGTTGGAGCTGACTAGTAGAGCTCATTGCCAAGCTTATTTCCGCTAGCGCTCCCTCGCCCACCTTCGCTATAAGGACCCCGGTCCTTATTCTTCTAATTCGCTTTTGAGTCGCTTCTGCGTCGCCTGAGTCGCTTCGTGTCATCTTCATTCGAAGAGCTCTTATATCGCGTTTTTTAAATGCTTCTTGAGCGCAATGCGCTGATTTGCGCGTTATCTTATCTTTCTTCTGAGCTCGATCGTAAGGAGTCTACTTTTGAGGCGCCTCAAAAGTAGTCTCAGCTGGATCGTAAGGAGCAGCAATGGCGCTGGCCAGAACTCTAAATCGATTGATGTCACCGTTTTAGAGTTAGCAAGAATCTGTGACAATGGTGGGGCCTTCAGGTGGATTAAATTCACTGGGACCTTTCAATGGGGACCAGGGTAGACGAGGTGGGGTAGGAGAAAGTAGAAGAGAGGGCGGAAGGGGTAACGGGGAGGTGGAGGGAAGTGGGTTCCGAGGGGAGACTGAAGGTGAGGATGGATGGGAGGGACAGAGACCGAGGGGGGAAGAGGGTAGAGGAGTCGAAGGAAGGGGGAATAGAGGACAGGAGGCAAGGGGGAACCAGGAGGTTGAAAGAAGCAGGAACCGGGGAGGGGGGAATGGAGATGAGGAGGGAAGGGGGGGACAGAGGCCGAGGGGGGAAGAGGGTAGAGGAGGAGACGAAGGAGGTCCCTCTCATAGCAACCATCAGCGACAGCAGTCGCAGCAGCAACAACAGTCGCAGCAGCAACAGCAGTCACAGCAGCAACAGCAGTCGCAGCAGCAACAGCAGTCACAGCAGCAACAGCAGTCACAGCAGCAACAGCAGCAGCTGCAAGAGGAGCAACAGGAGAAAAAGAAGCAACAAGAGCAGCAGCAGGTGAAACTGACGGAACAGCAGGAGGATAATCGGGCAGCAGTGGAGGCAGCAGGTGTGGGGATGGCGGAGCAGCCATGTGGAGGCCACGTGGCAGCAGGGGTGGGGGCAGCAGTGCAGCCATGTAAAGACCACGTGGCAGCAGGCGTGGGGGCAGCAGTGCAGGCGTGTGGAGGCCACGTGGCAGCCGCCCTGCACAGCCAGGAGAGGCTAGACGCGGCCCTTGGGAGGCTGGCGGCTGGTAGGTGTGTGGGTAGGAGAAGTTTTAGGTTGGTACTGGTGCGGTGGGTACTGGTGCGGTGGGTACTGGTGCGGTGGGTACTAGGCACTGATGTAACCATTCCCACGGCCATAAAAGGCTAGACGCAGCTCTTAGGAGACTGGCAGCTGGTGTGTGGGTGTGGTTGGGTGTGTGTGGGTGTGGTTGGGTGTGTGTGGGCGAAAGTTCGGTTGGGTGGTGGTCACTGATGCAGGCAGAAAAGGCTAGATGCGGCCCTTGGGAGACTGGCAGCTGGTGTGTGGGCGTGTGCGCGGGTGGGCAGCACGCATGTGGGTGTGTGGTTGCATGGGTGTGTAGTTGCATGAGTGTGTGGTTGCATGGGTGTGTGGTTGCATGGGTGTGTGGTTGCATGGGTGTGTGGTTGCATGGGTGTGTGGTTGCATGGGTGTGTTTGTGTTTGGGTGTGTTGGTGTGTAGGGTTTCTATCCCCAACCCTGCCTCGCCTGCACCTGATCCACCCTACCTACCCCTACTTCTCTACCTGACCACTCCTCTCTACACACTGTAGACCTGGACGGGATAGACCTCTGCCCATGCCAGTCAGGGCAGGCTCTTTCCCCATTTTGAGGCGCCTCAAAGGCGATTTTTTAGTCGACTCAAAGGTGCCTCAAAGGTGCCTCAAAGGTGCCTCAAAGGTGCCTCAAAGGTGCCTCAAAGGTGCCTCCAAGGTGCCTCAAAGGTGCCTCAAAGGTGCCTCAAAGGTGCCTCAAAGGTGCCTCAAAAGTGCCTTAAAGGTGCCTCCAAGGTGCCTCAAAAACAGTCCTTCCCCATCAACCCTATCTAAGATTTCTTACCTTGTTTGCCTGTTCTACCACCATGCTAGAGCTGGACGGCATACTGGAGGGGCTGCCCATGCCAGTCATGCCGCCATGCATCACTCGCATTGCCCCAACCCTTTCCCTCAGTTCTCTCCAGCCCTCTGGCTTCCCTCCATTCCATCCGCCCTTTACACCCTTTAGAGCCACGCCAGTATTGCCACCGTGCACCACTCGCATAGCCAATTCCCTGGCCTACATTGCTCTACACATACCCGCCCTGTTTGCTCTCTATGCCATCCTTGCGTGCCCCACCTCCATCAGAACTGGATGGCATACTGGAGGGGCTTCCCATGCCAGTCATGCCGCCATGCACCACCCGCATTGCTGCGATGCAGAGGAGAGTGCACGCGCTCACCTCCTCGCTCTCACGCATCCACGTACGCTTCACACGGCCGTCTGTCTGGCCTGCCATGTGTCTCACCTCCTCCTGCCTTGCTGCGGCCATGCAGAGGAGAGTGCACGCGCTCACCTCCTCCCTCGCACGCATCCACACGTGTGCCTCACTCAGACATGGTAACATGGTAGGAGGTGAGCATGCAAACATGGTAAGCACTCAGCCTGGCAAGGGATGCGTATTTTTATGAGGCGTCTCAAAAGAGGAACAGAGGAGATATTGAGACATGGTAGGAGGTGAGCATGCAAACATGGTAAGCACTCAGCCTGGCAAGGGATGCGTATTTTTATGAGGCGTCTCAAAAGAGGGACAGAGGAGATATTGAGACATGGTAGGAGGTGAGCATGCAAACATGGTAAGCACTCAGCCTGGCAAGGGATGCGTATTTTTATGAGGCGTCTCAAAAGAGGGACAGAGGAGATATTGAGACCTGGTAGGAGGTGAGCATGCAAACATGGTAAGCACTCAGCCTGGCAAGGGATGCGTATTTTTATGAGGCGTCTCAAAAGAGGGACAGAGGAGATATTGAGACCTGGTAGGAGGTGAGCATGCAAACATGGTAAGCACTCAGCCTGGCAAGGGATGCGTATTTTTATGAGGCGTCTCAAAAGAGGGACAGAGGAGATATTGAGACCTGGTAGGAGGTGAGCATGCAAACATGGTAAGCACTCAGCCTGGCAAGGGATGCGTATTTTTATGAGGCGTCTCAAAAGAGGGACAGAGGAGATATTGAGACCTGGTAGGAGGTGAGCATGCAAACATGGTAAGCACTCAGCCTGGCAAGGGATGCGTAGTTTTATGAGGCGTCTCAAAAGAGGGACAGAGGAGATATTGAGACCTGGTAGGAGGTGAGCATGCAAACAGGGGGTGTGTATTTCTGAGGCACCTAAAAAAAAAAAAAACCATGGTATTGAGATATTGAGACAAGGCAGGCGGTGAGCTCATTTTGAAACGTCTCAAAACTAAAGCCATGGTAGGAGGTGAGATAATTTCGACAAACATGGTAAGCACTCAGCCTAGCAAGGCGTGTGTTACCTCGTCTGGAAAGAAGGTGGCTCGGACGGCAGGACAGCAGCAGCAGGCTGTGCGTGCTGCAATTAGCCTGTGTGATCTAGATGGATGATGCTCGCGTGCAAACATGGTAAACAGTGCACACAGCAGCAGACTGTACAGGTTTTGGCCTGTATGCCTTACATGGATGGTGAACATACCAGCAAGGTCAGCACACAGCCTAGCAAGGCATGTGTCACCTCACGGGGGAAGAAGGTGGCTCTGTCATGGGGGCCAGCAGCTGCAGCAGCGACATGATTTGACTTATAATGAGCACACCAGCACAACTCGAGGGGGGTGTATGTGATACCTCGTGGGGGAAGAAGGTGGCTCTGTCATGGGGGCCAGCAGCTGCAGCAGCGACATGATTTGACTTATAATGAGCACACCAGCACAACTCGAAGGGGGTGTATGTGATACCTCGTGGGGGAAGAAGGTGGCTCTGTCATGGGGGCCAGCAGCTGCAGCAGCGACATGATTTGACTTATAATGAGCACACCAGCACAACTCGAGGGGGGTGTATGTGATACCTCGTGGGGGAAGAAGGTGGCTCTGTCATGGGGGGGCAGCAGCAGCAGCGACGGCAGCGACACTGCCTGCAGCTGTTTCTCCAATGCCTCTGAGTCGAACTGGAGTAGGTGCTCTTGGGAGAGCTGTGAGGGGGGGAAACATGCCATCTCACATGTACGCCATCTCACATGTACGCCATATCACATGTATGACATTTCGCATGTACGCCACACATCTCACATGTATGCCATCTCACATGTATGCCATCTCACATGTACGCCATATCACATGTATGACATTTCGCATGTACGCCACACATCTCACATGTATGCCATCTCACATCACATGTACGCCATCTCGCATGTACGCCATCTCACATGTACACCCGCACCTGTCACGCACCCTCAATTGCATTGGATACGTTGCCATTGTATTTTCGCCCATCAACTCAAGTTCCCCCTCCAAATAGCTTTGTTGCGGTTGCCTTTCGATTTGCTCTTTCTTCGCCAGTATCAGCTCAACCTCTCGCTGTCTTTTTCATTCAGTTCCTGAAGCAATCCTCTTCGTTCTCCCATTCCCCCTTCCCATACATTTTGCTCCTAACTTTCACTCCCAAATATCTCCTCTTTGCCCTTTCCCCTCCACATCGCTCCCTCTTCCCGTCTGCCCCCGCACAACCCCTACTTCCCACCTTCCTTCCATTGCCCCTCTCCCAGCTCTTGCCCAATCATCCGTGTTCACACCATCAACTCTCTTTGCGACTGTTTCAATTGTGTCACCTTCTTTTACGGGCCCTTCCCTCCCTCCCCCTGTCTGCCTCCGCACAACCCCTACTTTCCCACCCTCCCTTTGTCCCCCCCCCAGCGCTTGCCCAATCATCTGTGTTCACGCCATCAGCACTCTTCGCAACTGTTCAAAGTGCTTCATCGTCATCATCCTCTGGCCCTTCCCTCACACCTATGGACCCATCAATAGCAAGAGAACCCTCTCCTCCTCTCCCTCCCATCCTCGCTCCTCGTGCCGTCTCCCCTCCCTCTCGCTCCAGAAGAGTGACACATTAGACTCGGAAAGTTGTTTGTAAAATATTTCATGTTGCGCTATCTATTGTACCGGTAATTGCAAACATGCGTCTGTTTGCGAAGGCAATCATCGCATCTGCCAAGCAGTTCTTCACCAGCATTGATTGTCTGTATGCTTGTGCATAATTATATCGTGTGCCTATTTAGCGTGAGAATGTGAATAATCACTTTTTTTATTACCAAGTGCTCTATATCGAGTGTAGAACCAGCACTGGCAAGGCGCGCGACTATTATGGCGCTGTTGGTGCTCCCACGTGGACAAAGTTGCAGACTGGACACCTCCATGTGGCTGCTACTTCTGATTGGCTGGCGTGATTGCCCCTTCCTGAGCAAGAGGGAGGAAGAGTTTGTTTCGCTCGGTCACTTTCTCGTGATTCTTCGCAACTCCTCCTGCGAACCTGCAGACCTCGTGCTGCTCAGTTTTACGACGTTGTTGGCATTACCCGGTAGCACCTTCGTTGTCCCCTCTTTCTTTTCTCTCCTTCCAAATAGTCAGCATTCCTTCGTAGGCATGCTGAGCGTACGACTGCGGTTGACAATGTTTTTGCGCGTTACAAAGCGTTATGAATAATGTTTTGATCGGTTAAAGCAGAGTCAGAACAAAACTAGCATCTGAGACACATCCTTTCAGTCTCTGCTTCACTCACAGCATTTTTCTTCGGCAGTGCTTCAAGAATCAGTGCTTCTTTCGCTCTTTTTAATAAGTCCAGCCCAAGAAGTCAAATACTCTTCTATTTTGGGTTCTGCAGTTTCGGACTTCGGTTCCGAATTTTATCGCCATGGCGTCGCAAGCAGTGTGCCTATCGAGAGCACCCGTGCCGTCCGTCTGTCTATCAGGCAGCGGCTCGTCGTCGTTCTGTAGATCGGACAGGGCGACGTTGATGCGAGTCAACGGCTCGGATGTGACCGTCGGCTCGACTGCTAGAGTGGTCGCGTCGCAATCCCGCCGTAAGTGTTGGAAGCTAATGTCGTGGGTCATTTCTAGCCGGAGTGTCCATAAAGGAGCAGCGCATCTGCATTCTGACGTTCGAACCGTCTCAAAACACCTCGTTACAACATGACACGTCACGGTTTCTGATAAATCGTCCGCGTTTCATCAGGGGGTAACTCATATAGATCTTTGAAGATCGCCGTATGTAGATCAGACAGTTCCCCGCTTCTCGGGGTCAATAGCTCCTGAGGGGTTCAATGTCTCCCAGAGTCAACGGCTCCCGGGGTCAATGGCTTGGGGGGTACAATGGCTCCTGGAGGCCAACGGTTTCCAAAGGTCATTGGCTCGGACATGATTGGTTGCAAGAGCCCGTTTGTGACTCGTATGCTCTATACCTAGGCTGCGCTTTCAGTTCTGGATGTTCAGAAGACGGAAGGGGACAAAAAAAAAAAGACGGAGGTGCTCCTTGTATATGGGGTGCTCTGGTACCCCGCGTACATGCGGTTCACAAATGTTGGTTTTCTTAGTTCGTCTACTCTGCTGGCTGTGCGTCCAACGCGGGGTACTCAGAAGCCGTAATTAAGCAAAATGGAACAAGCGCGTCGCCCGGTGCTCCTCTTAAAAGTTTGTGCCTACATGCGGATAACTGGCTCGTGGAACGAGATTCAGGAAGCGGGTTAGGTTGCAAGAGTCGGCTCGTTTGGTGTCTTCTCCTCGTGCGACCAGTTCGGACGTACGAATAGTCTCAAAGTCTCCGTCGCTTTGAGAATGCATGCGACATTGTCGTAATTAGTCACAAAGTCTCCGTGGCTTCCAGAACGCATGCGACATTCTTCCTCTCCGGCGGGTGATCCTCGTGCCAGCTGAGTAAATGTAACCACCGAGAAGGTTACAGCTGCCACAGTGTTCAGAATCGACAATCTGCTGGTTAGACTGTAAGAGTTGACCAATTACTCATGCAACCGGTTAACCACTCGAGTGAAGGCGTTCGGTCCAATTCTCCCTGTCATTTCGCATCCGAAATAACGGCTTATGTGGTGAGGTGTGTCGTGTCGACTCAGAGATGATGGGTGGATCCTAATTGAATCACGAGAGCCGTTTTCTAGGACTCTCAGAACCGACTGATTCGTTTTTTTATTTGATTTCTCAATAAACGCATTCGGTGTGTCGTTTCAACTCAGAGATGATGGTTGGATCCTAACTGAATCAAGAAACTCGCCCTTTTAAACCCCCAAAGTTGGCTTCTGGCCGCTGTCGAGGTGACGTTTGAGTCGACTCAAAAACTTCTTCTCCCGTGCCTTCCCTGTCTCCGTTCCTCTTTCCACCCCTGTCTCCGCCTCTCCCTTCGGCCTTCTCTCTTCCTGCACCACCGGCACCACCGTCACCACCGTCACCACCGTCACCAGCCGGCGGCAGGGCGAGCATGAAGAAGGCGCAAGGAGCTGTTGTCTTCCGAACGGACGACCCACTAGCAGGCCGCGACTACCGCCCGGCCATGCCGGGGGACAACCCCGACTTCTGGGAAGGTTCCCAGTGGGACCTGCTGGGGTTTGCCGCGGAGTACCTGTGGGTGTTCGGTATCGTGCTGGCGGTGAGTACCGAATCCTATTGTGTGGGTCCCATCCCATCCAATGCCCTGCTCGTTCCCCAGGTATAGACCCCTTTTGTATGGGTGGGACCTGCTGGGGTTTGTCGCGGAGTATCTGTGGGTGTTCGGCATCGTGCTCGCGGTGAGTGCTCCTGAATCCCTCTCTTTGAGTTCTCTTTGGGTTGTATATGCGCACTAACTGATAGTAGTGGGACAAGTCGATTTTTGAGTCGACTTAAAGATTGACTTATCACACAACCCCCCCCTCTCCCCTCCTGTGTACGCTAACTGATAGTAGTGGGACCTGCTGAGTACCCCACTACCCCACTACCCCACTTCCCCCCTCATCTCATCCCCATTTTTCCTCACATACCCTCGCTGTTTAGTTCATCCACTCACACCCACACCCACACCCACACCCACACAGTCACACCCACACCCACGCCCACACCTCACTGCCCTTATGACTTGCTATCCTGCAAAACCCTTTTATCACAACGCCGCCCAAAGCTTCAATCACGATCATGAAGTGGTGGAGGCAGCAGCATCAGACTCGGCAGCTACTGCGTGGAATTATCTTTGGCCTGCCATCATGGTTCACTCGCTGCCCTTGTTTCCCGTTTGATCCTACAGATCGTTTCATCACTCTACGCCGTTACGAGCTACAACCAAGACGAGGAAGCGGGGGAGCCAACAGACTCGGCCGTGATTGTGGAGTCATCATCCATCACGATTCACCATTTACTGCCCTTGTTTCCCCGTCTGACCTTGCAGATCGTTTCATCACTCTACGCCGTTACAAGCTACAACCAAGACGAGGAAGTGGTGGAGACCGGCAGTGACTGTGTGGAATGATTGACTGACCATCAATCATCTGATGTATTCTGTGCTTCCCTCCTGCAGATCGTTTCATCACTCTACGCCGTTACGAGCTACAACCAAGACGAGGAGGTGGTGGAGCCAACAGACTCCGCCGTTATTGTGGAATCATCTGCACCGTCGGAAGCTGATCAGCTGCTTGAGCCGTTCGTTGACGATGCTCCTCCCCTGTAGATGCGGAACAAAAGGTGTACTGACATTCCAACAAATTTGTTTCCTAGCTTGGAGAGCAGGCGCGGCTGTTGCTGTGGAATCATCTGCACGGTCAGAAGCTGATCAGCTGCTTGAGCCATTCGTTGACGATGCCCTCCCTCCTGTAGATGCGGAATGAATAACTGTATGTCAGTTAGAAAGAAAACGTTAAGTGTACTGGCAGTAGTCCAACATTACTGGGAGCCGAGCCAACCAATTAGCTGCTTGGGCCTTTTGCTTCCAGGCGATGGTCTTCCTTGTAGGTACGGAATAAAGTGTATTGCTTCCCAACAAATCATGTAACAAAATGCACACTTGCTTGCAACATGCATGTGTTCTACACCTTCACATATATACCGATTCAAAGCAGTACAAGGTGCCCATTGATTTTATCAAACAGCAGGTCTGTGGTAAGTGGCTTTCAAAAACCAGGTAGGTTCCATCATCCATAGGGCTGGCCTGTGTAGACCTGACAGACACTGATAAACACCACAAGCACTCGCTCAGCAGCAACTTCAGCCTAGCAACCATATTGGTTCTGCAATAAGTGTCAATAACAGCCATGTGCAAACAAAAGCAGGCACCTCAATTAGGTAACAGTACCCCTTTTCTGTGCTTCCTTACCGAACATGTCAGAAACACAGTAGAATTACAATATGAAACACCCACACATCGACTCGTCTGTCCCCACGAGCCTGTTACATAAACATACCGTATGACTGTGGTAGTCTTTCCAGCAAATGCACGTGTGCCGTCTATCATGCAAGCAGCCAAGCGAAACCAACAGCCATGGTGACGGCAGTGGCAAGGTAGCCTGCCAAGAGAGAAGCACAGCAACAAACAACATTCAGCCACTCCGTTACAGTCACAAGAGGGAACTAGGGACCTCCTCTTAAGAAAAGGAAAAAAAAGGGAAAAAAAAGTGGATAAACAAATTACAAGTTTACTGACAGGTACTACTCGTATTACTGTAGCAAAACGGGATATAGAGACGCTCAGTAACTGCCAGTTGACCCGAACACATGCAGTCTGATTCATTATGATGGTGTGTCCACCATTGTACGGAACAGAGGTACTCCCACTTCGTGATTCCCATACCCCCGTCCCCCACCACACCGCTGCAAGCACTCTCTGCCGTCCGAGACCATCAGAAGATTGACAGGTTTCGTGCTGCGCCGAACATTAACTCAAGATAACGTACACGCGACTAATTCCTGTGACTGGTGAACTCTTATGGCACGCGACTCTCCCTCGCAGACTGCGATTTCCCAAACTGTTTGGAACCAATCGATGTAGCTGGGGGGGAAATTCGGCAAAGATCTTGGTTGGTCTGAACTGAACGAGGAGATCGGGAGTGGTATTTAAAAAAGAATTGACAAATAAAAAATGAATTTATATTGTATATGTATAGGAAAAACGGATAGCATGGGGATGTAGCTCAGATGGTAGAGCGCTCGCTTAGCATGCGAGAGGTATGGGGATCGATACCCCACTTCTCCAGAGATCTTTTTTCGTGGATTTGGTTAGCCCTCTTCTCCTTGGTCCTCCATTTGAGGACGCCGGAATGTACGGGACTCTCCCTTTTCCAGGGAGGGTTGCATCGGGTTCGGGTTAATTTCTCGGTTAACATTTTGCAGGGTTACCCATTTCGCAAATGTCGGCAATCAACATGCTTGGGTTCAGAGTGATGACGAAGAACCTCTGCACCAACGCTCATCTCCAAGAATATCTCGCAGGCACAAGCCCCCCTCTGCTCATGCCTTGGCTTGCTTGCCGCTTCCTTCGACAGGTTCGTTCTCCCACATGTCGCAACGGCTGATCGAATACCTTGTCTTTTTAGCAAGTTAGCAGCGTCAGCGCCTAATGCAAGCTTCCTTGCTGTAGTACCCGCAGGTGACTTGCAAAACACATACACATTTCGCAATTTGCTTCACCCAAGACGACACGCACGCCTCCGGTGTCCCGTTAGGCAGTTCTCCCTGCGCGCCGAGTAAAGCGTGTCGTGTTAGTGCTTCCCCTCGTCCCACCTAGTAAAGATCCGCGATGGCGCGGCGCAAGACGAAGGAGAGCAAGCGCAGGGCGGCGCAGGCGGGGAAGGAGGAGGAGGCGGCGGCGCAGATGGCCCCGGACGAGAAGGTTCCGCGGACCATGATGTTCGCGCGCGGGAAGGTCAACATTCTCCTCAAGCGCCTCGTGCAGGACATGCGGAAAATGCTGCTGCCTTTCACCGCGCTCAAACTCAAGGTGCGCTCTCGCGCGACCGCGCGGTCTTCCCGCTTCTCCCGCTTCTCCCCTCTCTCTCGCCACTCCCCCTTACCCCTCTCCCCCCTCTCCTTCCCCACCAATCCCCTCCGCGCGAGCCATCTCCGCGCCTCTCTTCCTCGTCAACCAACAGCGCCCAACGCTTTTGGCCATTTCCTCCCCGTTCCCTCGCGCCCTTGCTGTCTCGCCTTCCCTTGCACTCGCCTCGCCCTTCCCGTCCTCTCCCTTCGCCTCTCTGAAGGTCTCTCTATTGCGATGGTTTTGAGAGATCTCAACCCGCCACCCATTTCCTTTTGCGAAAACCTGAAACCCTGAGGAATCACGGCTCAGTCTCCTTCCAGACGTCGTGCGTGCTGTTTGTAAGGCCTCTCGAAACCCTTCCCGCCCCTCCCGTCCCGTCCCCTCTCCTCTGTTGGTTGCACTAAACCCAAACCCTGAACCCCTCGCAGAAATCAATGCACGCTTTCTCTAGAAGAAATCGTGCTGCGCTGGTTATAAGACGCATCAAAGCCCTTCACCCCCCCCCCCCCCCCCCCCCCCCCCCCCCCTTTCCTCCAGTGCCATCTTCGCATTGTGCTAATCTCAAACCACTGAACCCCACACAGGAATCTAGGCACGAAAATATCTGGTTTTCAAAAGTAAGGAGTTTTCTCAGGTTCCCTTGCCGCCATACATTTCCAAATGTTTTCCAACTCCACTTCATTCCAAAACCTTTCATCCTTTTTTTTACATCGACCAAAACCCACATGTTGAAACCCACACTTCTCTCTCACGGGATTAGGCCCGCGCGGCGGACTGGGTAATTGCAACGCACTTCCCCGTGCTCGCTGGGTCTACCTTAATCCAAAGCCCTGAACCAGGACCTTAAACCCAAACCCTTTCAGGAATTTCAGCACAACAATCTAAAGCATCTTCTCCATGTGTTAGGCTATCTGGGCGTCACGCACTTGCTCATGCATTCCAAACCAACCCCTTTTGACCAAAACCCTAAACAAGGTCATGAAACTTGAATCCTAAACCCCGAATACCCCTCTCCAGGAATCCAGGAGCATCACCTTGAAGAAATTCCTCCACGTGGCAGGCCTGCTGGGCATCACTCACTCCCTCAGTCTACCTAAAGTTAAAGCCCTGAACAGAAACACCACCCAAACCCCAAGTTTTTTACCCCAAACCCCAAACCCTCGACAGGAATCCAGGAAAAACAACCTCAAGGATTTCCTCCACGTGGCAGGCCCTCTTGGCGTGACACACTTCCTGATGCTCTCCAAGTCTGACGTGTCACCCTACCTGCGCGTCGCCCGCACGCCACGTGGACCCACCCTCACCTTCCGCGTCCTCGACTACTCCCTCGCTGCTGACGTGGCGAAATCCCAGAGGCGCCCGTACGTGCCAGCTGGCGTGTTCGAGGCGCCGCCTCTGGTGAGAGGGAAGGGGAGAGAGGGGGAATGGGGAGGGAGAGTGAGAGGGGTGGGTGGGGAGGGAGAGGGGTTTACGTTTGGAGTCAGGGTTCTGGGTTTTTTGTAAAGACAGTGAAACAGATTAGTTCACCTGGCGTCGTGTGTGCATGTGTGCGTGCGTGTGTGTATGTGTGGGCGCTTGCTTGTGTGTTTGGGGTGTGTGTGCATGTGTGCGTGCATGCATGTGTGTGTGTATGGGCTGGTTCCGTGCATGTGTGCAATGCAACCAGGTGGTGATGAACGGCAAGCAAGCGGCAATGGCACGGAGCATCTGAAGCTTTTGAGGAGCCTAAAGAGTGCATGTGTGAAGCTTTTGAGGAGCCTAAAGAGTGCATGTGTGAAGCTTTTGAGGAGCCTAAAGAGTGCATGTGTGAAGCTTTTGAGGAGCCTAAAGAGTGCATGTGTGAAGCTTTTGAGGAGCCTAAAGAGTGCATGTGTGAAGCTTTTGAGGAGCCTAAAGAGTGCATGTGTGAAGCTTTTGAGGAGCCTAAATAGTGCATGTGTGAAGCTTTTGAGATGCCTAAAGAGTGCATGTGTGAAGCTTTTGAGGAGCCTAAAGAGTGCATGTGTGAAGCTTTTGAGGAGCCTAAAGAGTGCATGTGTGAAGCTTTTGAGATGCCTAAAGAGTGCATGTGTGAAGCTTTTGAGGAGCCTAAATAGTGCATGTGTGAAGCTTTTGAGATGCCTAAATAGTGCATGTGTGAAGCTTTTGAGATGCCTAAAGAGTGCATGTGTGAAGCTTTTGAGATGCCTAAAGAGTGCATGTGTGAAGCTTTTGAGGAGCCTAAAGAGTGCATGTGTGAAGCTTTTGAGGAGCCTAAAGAGTGCATGTGTGAAGCTTTTGAGATGCCTAAAGAGTGCATGTGTGAAGCTTTTGAGGAGCCTAAATAGTGCATGTGTGAAGCTTTTGAGATGCCTAAATAGTGCATGTGTGAAGCTTTTGAGGAGCCTAAAGAGTGCATGTGTGAAGCTTTTGAGGAGCCTAAAGAGTGCATGTGTGAAGCTTTTGAGGAGCCTAAAGAGTGCATGTGTGAAGCTTTTGAGGAGCCTAAAGAGTGCATGTGTGAAGCTTTTGAGGAGCCTAAATAGTGCATGTGTGAAGCTTTTGAGATGCCTAAAGAGTGCATGTGTGAAGCTTTTGAGGAGCCTAAAGAGTGCATGTGTGAAGCTTTTGAGGAGCCTAAAGAGTGCATGTGTGAAGCTTTTGAGATGCCTAAAGAGTGCATGTGTGAAGCTTTTGAGGAGCCTAAATAGTGCATGTGTGAAGCTTTTGAGATGCCTAAATAGTGCATGTGTGAAGCTTTTGAGATGCCTAAAGAGTGCATGTGTGAAGCTTTTGAGGAGCCTAAAGAGTGCATGTGTGAAGCTTTTGAGGAGCCTAAAGAGTGCATGTGTGAAGCTTTTGAGGAGCCTAAAGAGTGCATGTGTGAAGCTTTTGAGGAGCCTAAAGAGTGCATGTGTGAAGCTTTTGAGGAGCCTAAAGAGTGCATGTAGTGAAGCTTTTGAGGAGCCTAAAGAGTGCATGTGTGAAGCTTTTGAGGAGCCTAAAGAGTGCATGTGTGAAGCTTTTGAGGAGCCTAAAGAGTGCATGTGTGAAGCTTTTGAGGAGCCTAAAGAGTGCATGTAGTGAAGCTTTTGAGGAGCCTAAATAGTGCATGTGTGAAGCTTTTGAGATGCCTAAAGAGTGCATGTGTGAAGCTTTTGAGGAGCCTAAAGAGTGCATGTGTGAAGCTTTTGAGGAGCCTAAAGAGTGCATGTGTGAAGCTTTTGAGGAGCCTAAAGAGTGCATGTGTGAAGCTTTTGAGGAGCCTAAAGAGTGCATGTGTGAAGCTTTTGAGGAGCCTAAAGAGTGCATGTGTGAAGCTTTTGAGGAGCCTAAAGAGTGCATGTGTGAAGCTTTTGAGGAGCCTAAAGAGTGCATGTGTGAAGCTTTTGAGGAGCCTAAAGAGTGCATGTGTGAAGCTTTGAGGAGCCTAAAGAGTGCATGTGTGAAGCTTTTGAGGAGCCTAAAGAGTGCATGTGTGAAGCTTTTGAGGAGCCTAAAGAGTGCATGTGTGAAGCTTTTGAGGAGCCTAAAGAGTGCATGTGTGAAGCTTTTGAGGAGCCTAAAGAGTGCATGTGTGAAGCTTTTGAGGAGCCTAAAGAGTGCATGTGTGAAGCTTTTGAGGAGCCTAAAGAGTGCATGTGTGAAGCTTTTGAGGAGCCTAAAGAGTGCATGTGTGAAGCTTTTGAGGAGCCTAAAGAGTGCATGTGTGAAGCTTTTGAGGAGCCTAAATAGTGCATGTGTGAAGCTTTTGAGATGCCTAAAGAGTGCATGTGTGAAGCTTTTGAGGAGCCTAAAGAGTGCATGTGTGAAGCTTTTGAGGAGCCTAAAGAGTGCATGTGTGAAGCTTTTGAGGAGCCTAAAGAGTGCATGTGTGAAGCTTTTGAGGAGCCTAAAGAGTGCATGTGTGAAGCTTTTGAGATGCCTAAAGAGTGCATGTGTGAAGCTTTTGAGGAGCCTAAATAGTGCATGTGTGAAGCTTTTGAGATGCCTAAATAGTGCATGTGTGAAGCTTTTGAGATGCCTAAAGAGTGCATGTGTGAAGCTTTTGAGGAGCCTAAAGAGTGCATGTGTGAAGCTTTTGAGGAGCCTAAAGAGTGCATGTGTGAAGCTTTTGAGGAGCCTAAAGAGTGCATGTGTGAAGCTTTTGAGGAGCCTAAAGAGTGCATGTGTGAAGCTTTTGAGGAGCCTAAAGAGTGCATGTGTGAAGCTTTTGAGGAGCCTAAAGAGTGCATGTGTGAAGCTTTTGAGGAGCCTAAAGAGTGCATGTGTGAAGCTTTTGAGGAGCCTAAAGAGTGCATGTGTGAAGCTTTTGAGGAGCCTAAAGAGTGCATGTGTGAAGCTTTTGAGGTGCCTAAAGAGTGCATGTGTGAAGCTTTTGAGGAGCCTAAAGAGTGCATGTGTGAAGCTTTTGAGGAGCCTAAAGAGTGCATGTGTGAAGCTTTTGAGGAGCCTAAAGAGTGCATGTGTGAAGCTTTTGAGGAGCCTAAAGAGTGCATGTGTGAAGCTTTTGAGGATGCCTAAAGAGTGCATGTGTGAAGCTTTTGAGGAGCCTAAAGAGTGCATGTGTGAAGCTTTTGAGGATGCCTAAAGAGTGCATGTGTGAAGCTTTTGAGGAGCCTAAAGAGTGCATGTGTGAAGCTTTTGAGGAGCCTAAAGAGTGCATGTGTGAAGCTTTTGAGGAGCCTAAAGAGTGCATGTGTGAAGCTTTTGAGGAGCCTAAAGAGTGCATGTGTGAAGCTTTTGAGGAGCCTAAAGAGTGCATGTGTGAAGCTTTTGAGGAGCCTAAAGAGTGCATGTGTGAAGCTTTTGAGGAGCCTAAAGAGTGCATGTGTGAAGCTTTTGAGGATGCCTAAAGAGTGCATGTGTGAAGCTTTTGAGGAGCCTAAAGAGTGCATGTGTGAAGCTTTTGAGGAGCCTAAAGAGTGCATGTGTGAAGCTTTTGAGGAGCCTAAAGAGTGCATGTGTGAAGCTTTTGAGGAGCCTAAAGAGTGCATGTGTGAAGCTTTTGAGGAGCCTAAAGAGTGCATGTGTGAAGCTTTTGAGGAGCCTAAAGAGTGCATGTGTGAAGCTTTTGAGGAGCCTAAAGAGTGCATGTGTGAAGCTTTTGAGGAGCCTAAAGAGTGCATGTGTGAAGCTTTTGAGGAGCCTAAAGAGTGCATGTGTGAAGCTTTTGAGGATGCCTAAATAGTGCATGTGTGAAGCTTTTGAGATGCCTAAAGAGTGCATGTGTGAAGCTTTTGAGGAGCCTAAAGAGTGCATGTGTGAAGCTTTTGAGGAGCCTAAAGAGTGCATGTGTGAAGCTTTTGAGGAGCCTAAAGAGTGCATGTGTGAAGCTTTTGAGGAGCCTAAAGAGTGCATGTGTGAAGCTTTTGAGGAGCCTAAAGAGTGCATGTGTGAAGCTTTTGAGGAGCCTAAAGAGTGCATGTGTGAAGCTTTTGAGGAGCCTAAAGAGTGCATGTGTGAAGCTTTTGAGGAGCCTAAAGAGTGCATGTGTGAAGCTTTTGAGGAGCCTAAAGAGTGCATGTGTGAAGCTTTTGAGGAGCCTAAATAGTGCATGTGTGAAGCTTTTGAGATGCCTAAAGAGTGCATGTGTGAAGCTTTTGAGGAGCCTAAAGAGTGCATGTGTGAAGCTTTTGAGGAGCCTAAAGAGTGCATGTGTGAAGCTTTTGAGGAGCCTAAAGAGTGCATGTGTGAAGCTTTTGAGGAGCCTAAAGAGTGCATGTGTGAAGCTTTTGAGGAGCCTAAAGAGTGCATGTGTGAAGCTTTTGAGGAGCCTAAATAGTGCATGTGTGAAGCTTTTGAGATGCCTAAATAGTGCATGTGTGAAGCTTTTGAGATGCCTAAAGAGTGCATGTGTGAAGCTTTTGAGGAGCCTAAAGAGTGCATGTGTGAAGCTTTTGAGGAGCCTAAAGAGTGCATGTGTGAAGCTTTTGAGGAGCCTAAAGAGTGCATGTGTGAAGCTTTTGAGGAGCCTAAAGAGTGCATGTGTGAAGCTTTTGAGGAGCCTAAAGAGTGCATGTGTGAAGCTTTTGAGGAGCCTAAAGAGTGCATGTGTGAAGCTTTTGAGGAGCCTAAAGAGTGCATGTGTGAAGCTTTTGAGGAGCCTAAAGAGTGCATGTGTGAAGCTTTTGAGGAGCCTAAAGAGTGCATGTGTGAAGCTTTTGAGGAGCCTAAAGAGTGCATGTGTGAAGCTTTTGAGATGCCTAAAGAGTGCATGTGTGAAGCTTTTGAGGAGCCTAAATAGTGCATGTGTGAAGCTTTTGAGATGCCTAAATAGTGCATGTGTGAAGCTTTTGAGATGCCTAAAGAGTGCATGTGTGAAGCTTTTGAGATGCCTAAAGAGTGCATGTGTGAAGCTTTTGAGGAGCCTAAAGAGTGCATGTGTGAAGCTTTTGAGGAGCCTAAGAGTGCATGTG